TTCTGAAAACTGAACCAAAATTAAGCCAGTAAGACTAATAGTTATGGAGATACGGATAATGAAGGTATACTAAGGTTAAAGATCAGAAGTAAAATTTTCAGTAATTTTATGAGAAATTGTTGTAGTAGAGCGAATAGATTAGGCCTCATAGAAGCATGTATTTTATAATCAGTTTATCTAAGTCTGTCATCCAAGAGCGTCTAGCCGTCTACTAATTCCAAGAAATCTCAAATGGAAGATGCCTCTCCCCAAAAACCCTTCATCAAGGGGAGACAGGGAAAAACGTCCCCAAATATTTTTAAAGGATGGAGATGAACTGGTGGCAAGTGGACGTGTTTTAAGTGCTCTCCGAAATCTCTCAGAATTGATCTATTTTAACCACTGCCTTTTACAGTTTATATTTACTACTTCATGCTCATTATTGGGTGCTTTTTAACGTTTCTAGCTGTTGTCTTTTTTCATGATTTTTGATGGTTGTGAGTACCCGTCTGTCTTGTGATTTGGATACCGTTTGTGCAGTGCTGCTGGCAGGCTGTTGCTTTGTGATTCGTCTTGCTAGGCCTAGCCTAGCCCTGGCGGCCAATTTATATTTTCTAAAATTCCATTCTTTTTTTTTTGGTGTCTCAAACCTTATACTGTGGACCTCCTGTGTGCTGTGTATCTTCATCAGATCCTTCTTAAAGAAACCTTATGATGTCTACTACTATCAATATCCATCGAATTATTTTTATGTTTGCTCTACTCAAAACAACAGGACATGCTACCACTATTATCAGACATGGTGTGTGTCTTTTTAGAGATTTTTCACTTAACTTTAATTATTTAACCATCTTTGTATATAAAGTCCAACGACCTCATATATCTTCACATGGTAAGGTCGTTTAGACAGTTACCTAAGACCCCCTTAAAGATAATAAATATTGATTAAGCAGTCTGCATTTTTTTGGAATGTGGTCACTCCCCTGGCACAATTATCTGAACCTTAGGTAGGCCTACTCAGTTGAATTACACCTTTTGATAAACAGTTCTTCTTTATTGTTTCAACTTGTATATTCTTTATTGTTTGCCGATCTACACCTCAAGTGTTTTTTTATCTACCATACGTATTTCACTTGGAAATAAATTGTACAGTTCTATATGTTATTAGTTTGTTGTTTACTAATGTTACGTTTACAACTACTAAATGCCTATCAGAGGGAAATCGTAAGATTAAAGGAAAAGAACTATAATTTAGCCTAAACAAATATTTATATTACAACACAGTACAAAGTACAAACGGCCTAGTATCCTCGCATATTTTCTGCTTCTCTGCGGTGACGTTGAGATCAACCCTGGCCCCATCAACACTGTTGAAAGCAATAATTGTAGTAAGCCTAGCAGTAGTTCAACTACCCAAGATCATTATCCACATACCTATGTGGTACTTGTACAGAATCTGTCACCTGGGAAGACAAACAGATAATGTGCGAAGAATGTGAAACCTGGTATCATATTGGCTGCCAAAACATTAATGACGCATCTTACATTAGACTAGGGGGTTCAAGTGTTGTCTGGACCTGTCTAGTGTGTGACGCACCAACTTTTAGTATTAATCTTTTTTATCTCCATAATGTGGAGTCTGAAAACAGATATAGTGTACTTGGAGACCTAAGCTTAGGCTCACAATCATCTCTTGATCTTGGACATCCTAAAGCAGCCTCCTCTCCAACTAAGCCCAAACCAAGTTCAGACATTGGGCCCCATCCATTACGGATTGTTAATGTAAATTGTCAATCCTTAATTAACATAAAGCTCCATTCTATACCTAATCGACAGCACCAAACCTGATATTATTATTGCAACCGAAACCTGGTTTAATAACAGTATTGTCGATGCCGAGTACTTCAGTTCCCAATACAGAGTGTAGAGAAAAGACAGAAACCCCACAGGTAGTGGTTTACTTGTAGCTGTTAATAGTGACCTCATTAGTGTTAGAGAAGAAACCCTAGAAAAAAAAAACACTTCGGAGTCAGTTTCGGTTAAAATCAATATTACAGGATGCAAAAACTTATATGTTGCGGGCTACTACCGTGCTAATATTAAAGATGAAATCGCTCTTGATGATCTAGATGACGCATTATCTAAGATTTCGAGTAGAGTCAATAACCTCATACTGGTTGGAGGTAATTTCAACTTACCAGGATGGGATTGGGAAACTAAGACACTTAAGCCAAGAACTCCTTACCTGAACCTCCACGACAAGTTTGGGGAAATATTAGATGATAATGGCCTGACACAATTTGTTGAAGAAACAACAAGACTAAATAATAACCTTGATTTTTAATCTAATTTAATCGAACACAAGTTGTACCTGGTATCAATGAGCATAATGCTGTGTATACTGAAATGGAAATCAAGCCAACTTGAAAGAAGCAAATCCCCCGAAGAGTACCTCTATATAAAAAAGCAGAATGGAAGGGACTCCGTCAAAATACTGGGAAACTTGCAGAAATCATCGCTAATGCTGAATCTAACGCAACTGTTGACTAGCAATGGAACCTCTTCAGGTATGGCTTGATAGAAGGTATCCAGCTTTTTATCCCACATAAAACCACGAAGTCCAGAGATTCACATTCATGGATACATCATAGAACTTAAAAGAAAAATTAAGAGAAGAAACCGGGCATTCAAAGCTAGTAAAAAAAACATTGGAAAGTTAAAGATGAAATAAAGTTTGAAAATCTTAAAAAGACTGTGCAACGTGAAATGCGGAAAGCCTACTGGTAATACGTAGAAGATTTCGTCACTCCACAAGCCTCTGACATAAATGTTGACAGTGGTATGAAAAGAATTTGAACCTTCATCAAGCATAAGAAATTGGACTTCGCCAATAAGAGCTGAGGGTAAAGTCTTAACAAATGCTAAACAAAAAGCAGATGCTCTTAACCATCAATTTCAGTCAGCCTTTACTAGTGAAACCACCTTTAAAACTTATCAACCTCTATACCAATTTCCAAATATGCCTGACATAGATGTCTCAACCACTGGCGTACTCAAATTACTTTAAATTCTCGACCTAAGCAAGGCTTCAGGCCCAGACAACATCAGCCCAAGAGTTCTCAAGGAATTGAGTGATGTCCTCGTAAATCCTCTTACCCCATAATATTTAGGGAGTCACTTCGATAGGGCAGTGTACCACAGGACTGGAAAAAAGCAAACATCACTCCAATTTTTTAAAAAGGTCAAAAATAAAATCCTGCAAACTACCGTCCAATCAGTCTTACCTGCATAGCCTCTAAAATAATGGAGCATATTTACAGTAATATAATGACCCGTGCTAGCAATCACAATATCCTCTACAGTCTCCAGCGCGGTTTCCGCAGTAAAAGATCCTGTGAAACTCAGCTTCTGGAATTCGTACATGACATTGTTACCAACATGCAAGATGGGTACCAATCAGATGTATGCCTATTAGATTTTTCAATAGCCTTTGACAAGGTCGGCCATCTTAGACTTGTTGAAAAGCTTCGTTGGTATGGAATCAATGGTCAAACTAACAATTTGATTAAACAGTTGAACAGCGGCAGGACCCAATCAGTAGTGATTGACGGTGTTTCCTCCAGCAGCGTTCCGGTTACATCTGGTGTACCACAATGCTCTGTTTTAGGACCATGTCATTCCTCTTCTTCATCAATGACATAGCAGAAAACCTAACATCCTATACACATTTATTTGCTGATGATACCTAAATTTACATGACGGTAAGCAGTGAAGGGGACGCCAAGCTGATGAAGAAAGATCTAGATACTTTATTACTGTGGGAGAAAAACTGGATGATGGAATTCCAGCCAGAAAAATGCCAAGTTATTAGCATCACAAGAATGAAAAACATCACATAATATCCATATACTCTCCACGGTCATCAACTTTCTCATGTAGATCATGCCAAGTACCTAGGAATAACAATTACCAAAGATCTCAGATGGACCAAGCACATCTACATCACCACAGTCAAAGCAAACAATACACTAAATTTCCTCAGATGTAACATAAATATTAATAACCAAAAAGTAAAAGAACAAGCTTACAAGTCACTTGTCGGACCAATTTTAGAATATTGAAGTGTTGTTTGGGATCCCCACACAGACGTAAACAAAAGATTTAATGCCGTGCTGCTAGGTTAACCTTAAGAGATATGAACGTACAGCTAGTTTCAATGACATGATCCACGAACTATCATGGAAAACTCTGGCTGAAAGGCGCCAACTTGCAAGATTAGCAATGTTCTAGAAAATCCACAATAATCTTGTTGCAAATGATATGATCAAATACTTAATTTTTAAAAAATAATAATTATACAGCTCCATCTCGCACAGAAAACAGCCAGGCATATAGTATTCCACTCAAGTCGGGACTATCACAAGATGTCATTCTTTCCTCAGACATCTAGGGAATGGAACATAATAGCAGAATCTACTGTCAAAGCACCAACGAGTGAAGTTTTTAAGGGGCCCTTGGAAAAAAATAATCTCACTTGCATCACCACATACCACCAAAGTGCTATAGCCTTCAAAATTGAAGTTTGCACTAATCTGGAAGAAGAAAAAGGGTTGGGGGGGGGGGTGGTCTCCTCAATTTTCGTCCGCAATGTAATAGTGTCATGCCTGAAAATTGTTGAAATGAACTGCATAAATGACTCAGGTTTTATTGAATGTGTGATGTACAACCAGTACTCTTTCTCTGCCCACAAAAATCTGCATTTATAATACACTACTCGAGTGAGCGTGCCTTTATTAACTTAAGTATGAGAAAAAGCATGTAATAATAATAAGATTGGTTTTCGGCAAAGTAAATTAAAAATACATCAAAGACAATCCAGTTTTATTTTCAATGGAACATCACAGCGATGAATTTGATCGATGATGATTAATTTTATTATAATAATAGTGTCATTTCCAGCAATCTAGAGGTACTATTTCCCCAAATGTTAACATCTCAGCCCTTAACTATGGTGTGGACTAATGGCTTTGAAGTAGGTAGGCCAAAATTAAATACATCAAAGACAATGTTTTTTAATATTTATTTTCTATATACATCATACATCATATTAATTAGATATCTATGGTTGCCGAAAATCGCTGGTAAAACATCATAAGAAATTTGTTGGCGCTGCATTTTGACTATAAATGGTGATGTGATGACGATGAATTTTACTATATAAAAGTGTCATTTCAGGTCATCTAGAGCTACTACTTCCTAACATTTTCGCTCACGAAATGTCCCCTCAGATCTGCGCCCTTGTCAAAACCACGCCGCCACTGATATATGTAGGAGCTCCTAGTAGCAATGTAGAAAGAAACAGTTGAGATAGGACCTTTCCACATACCAACAGACCAATCTAATATCTGTTAGGCCTGTTAATTAACATTCAGAAAAAAAAAAATGTTATTTTCGGGCGAACAAGTGAAATGAGGACTGGTGGTCAAATTCAGAGTTCTGTAAGTGATAGGTCCTGCATTAGAAAACAATAGGTATTTTATAAATCCTATCTAAGTACATTTAATGCTAAACACGTCAAGATTATAAGCCAATTATTCTATGGTTAACACATTTTAAAACCTAATCGTGTCACCAAAAGTGGGAATTTGAGTGGCATTACACCTTCAACGATATTTTATACAGTGTACAGATAGAGTTGAAGAAACTGCATTGGTTGTTGCCATACACTGGGCAGACTGACACTGGGACGACAAAGATTAGAGCTGTAGACAGGATTTTAGATTCAAATCGGTTTCGTTTGAACCCTTCGATATGCGTACTCTCTAAAATACCTTGTAAGAGTACATTTCAGAATGGTTTGCTTTGCTCAACCGAAGTGCAAGGCTTATATATTATTTAAATATAAAACTGGTAACAAAATAATCTTGCTTCATCATGTGTTAGCAACATGAAAAAAATTCATTTTATTTCAGGCGTTTTATTTATGCCATTTGTTCACTTTAGTATCTTGTGTTGATCATATGTCGTACTTCTATGGTCCGGTGTCCTAAATGAGTTAATAATATACCAAGTTCTGTCTGATTGAAATGAATTATGTACAAGTTTAATAGATGTTCATTATAAATATATTTCTTTAAGCTGAGGAAGCACGTCTTTTTAAATGCATCATGGCTAAAGCGGTCTATTAAATTCTAAACATTTACGTTTTTATCACATAGGACCACCAGTGTTTTTATCAGAAATTATAAACTGTCCAGAATCTGCTGTTGAGAAAGGAGCGCTTGTAAACTTAACCTGTAGAGTCAACGGATACTACCCAAATGGATCTGTGGACATTTCGTGGTCTAGGACTGGCGATATTTGTTGGAAAACAAATTATCACATCGATGATGGTGATAATGGTACGTTTAGCTTAACCTCAACCATTGTATCGAAAGTCTGGGAAAATGAAACTTTCACATGCTGTTTAGAAGAACCTGTTGGTGCCAGGAATCTTACGTCCGTCTGCAACATTAAAGTCAAGAATTGTAGGTTATTTTATTTTATTGAAACATTTGAGACATGTTGTGGCGAAATGGTAAAGTTGTCGCACAGTCCAGTATTCAGTAAATGAGCTATAAAATATGGGAGCTCAAAAAATTGCTAAAAAAATTTGTTTTTTACTATAGGTCAACAGTTTAATGTCTTATTAATCATGTCTCAAAGTATTAGTTCTGGAAGTGGTTAACAAATTGTTTATTTAACGTTATTTTTCATAGTTCATTATATTAAACAATGTATGCACAAATACCTTTGAAAGGTAATTACTCAAACTTGACTCTAAGAGTACTGTACTTTCACTTTCCAATAACTTTGGTTTGAAATGTCCAATTTGAATGAATGACCCCTCATTTTAAAGATCACATACTCAGGTATTTGAAAATACCAATAACTTGAATTTTAATTTTTGCTACAACTTAGCCATTTTGCTACAACATGCCTCATTTATCTGGATCCAATATCTGAAAAATTAGAGTGATATGATACTTTTACTTACATGACGTTTCGCTAGTGGATGTCTACCCGCAGGACGTCGTGTAAGTAAAAGTTTCTCTAGAATTTTTGGATTTATCAAAAAAAGAAAATAGCATTGAATATGTTATTATTTATTCATGTGCCTACTCTTTGGAAGCAAGCTCACGTTGTTTCGATTTACAAAGGAAAGGTCGGTCCTCTCTTAAATCATATGGCCTGATTTCTTTCACCTTTTTTCATTTTTAAGCTTATAGAAAGAATTTTGTACGATCATGTTTACAACTTTCGTTCTTCTCAATTGCTACAGGATAGAAGGAAAATTATTTGTCTTTGTTTTTGCTTCTTTTTCTTAACAATAATGTTTTTTTTTTCTTTTGAAATAAGCTCATAGAAGAGAGTTCCCGACTCCGTATTCCCTTTGCCAGATGTAACACATTTAAATATTCTTTTTTTTTTAATACAATGCTGGCCATTTGGAATAGTTTGAATTAATTTAATTGAAATAAGAAATTCAAATTCACTTACTCTTGCTTTTATTCAACAGTCCCCTTTTCTTTTTGCTGTATATATGATTTAAATATTACATGACCGGCGGAACCGAGAGGACAGGGCCCCCAAGTTTGGCAGAAAATATACAATATCTATGGAGATTTTTGTATGATCGAAAAGAATGCAAGAAAAGAAAGAGGGAAGAAAGAGTTACATTTTCTCACAATTTACATTGGTCGATCTGGTGGGGTGAGGGGTCAAGGTTTCCTCCCTTGGGCAAAACAAAAAAGAAAAAAAAAATTCTAGACATACCTTTTTAGGACCCGTGAGCTACTTTTTTTATATTTTTTTGGTACAATACGAAAATTAGAAGTCGGGAAAGCTCATTTCCCGCCATGTGGAATCAATTTTTTCTCGAGGGAGGACCCCGAACCCCTTTTATTTTTGGAGTTCATAGATTCATGGAAAAACAATAAGTATGCAACGTATGTATACCGGTACACACATAATAGGCCTATTTACAGTAAGCAGAATGAGAAAAAATTACTTGACCATTTTCATTGGGGAAAAAAAAACCTTGAGATTTGAAGAACTTATAAAAGCTTCAAACGTTTTTTGTTTATTAATTTGTCTATTTTTGTAATGCTTTATTTAAAATTAAATTACCTGTAAAATCAAAACTTCCCGGTAATCGACTTACCGTCATTATTGTTGTAACTATTTATGTTTTCTAATAAAAAGTCGGGAAAGCTCATTTCCCACCATTTAGAAATCAGTGGCTGCTCTAGGATATAATTTTTGGGGGTGGGGCTAAGGTCCAACTGGGGGGGCTAAGTATTTATGGGTGTAACTATAGCGCGCAGCGTTATCCGAGTGCCGAAGGCCCGAGACAGGGGTGGGTATGTCTCCTCCTCCCAAAACGAGTTTTTTTTTTTTTTTTTTTTTTATTTTGGGACTCCTAGATGGCCGGAAATGGCTGGGATGGGAAAACTAGGCCTATTTTTTTTTTTTTTTTGGTCCGACTGCCCGACGAGCTTTGGCCGATGGGGGGCTTGACCAGACCGATGGAGAGGCTTGACCAGACCGATGGGGGCTTAAGCCCCTCCCCCCCCCCCTCGCTGGCGCCGCCACTGAACCCGAACCCACCTTTCTTGTTGGGGTTCATTGATTCATGGAATCGTTTTCAAGATGAGTAAACCTTAAATTTTGAAGAACTTAACAGTCATTAAAAGACAACTGATAAGTCGGAAAAGCTCATTTGCCGTCACATTTTTCAGGGGGAAAACCCGGACCACCACTTCTCTTTGAGGTTTATCGATTCATGGAAATATTTGACTTCAGGCCACCCCCAAAATTTGAACCCAGATCTCCCCCCATTCATATTTCCACTTACCTTACTAGTGCCCTTCCCCCACTTTGAAAATCGTTCCGCCGGCCCTGTATTACGTTACTGATGTAAGCGATGTTGTTAAACTATCATGTTTGCTCATGATAAGAACCTCCATGAAGCAATTCGAATAATGATGAATGAGGTAAGTACAATTGCACATTGGAATAATACAAATAAACGTACTCCAAATGTGATAACCCAATATAATTCTAAGAACTAAAGCAGAAAAGGATACTAAATCTAATTTACAAATCACTTATTTTACCTTATCTAAATTATGGTACCACTGTGGGAGCTATATTGTAAAAACAAATATGAATTGTATATGTTTTACAAAAAAAAGCACTTAGGTCTGTTTACAACGTGCATCTTTATCCTTCTGCTCCGCTATTTGTTTTTTCATACTCGCCCAATATTGTTGATGAAGTGTTTTGAAGATACATAATGCTTTACATTAATTAAGTCTGAATATAAGGCTTATATAGTGGCGTCTTTTTATACATATTGATTAGTTACACTACATGCATTGCTTGTATTTTTCAGACCCAGAGGGTGTTGTGAAAAACTGTATTTCAATACCTGTGGTCATACTTATTGCGTTGTTGGTGATAGTTTTTGAAAATCTAATCATTGTTATCGTGAGGTATTGTTACTTGCGTTGGAACAAGGCCTCTCGTAAAGAGGACCCACGACAAAACCACAAAGATGATGAAACGTTAACTCCTCTTCAGAATTCTGCAAATAATAAGAAAAACAATGACGTCAAATTAGAAATGGATAATCTAGAAGGCCACACTGTTGACAAAACTCTTCTTCAGAGTGCAATTTCGAAGAACAACAGTGAAACTAAAAAAGAATCTCACTTAAAAAAGAGAGAGGGAAAAAGAAAATTTAAAACCACAGAATAAAATACATAATCGAATAACTTCATTACCATTTAATTAAAGATTTATATTATATACCGTAGCTTTAGGATTTGATACCGCTTGATCAGTTGCCTCTCTTGTCTCCTTGGTGATTTGCTTTGTTTAATTTGTTATTGCTCAAAATAGCAGTTGATGGTAGAGGAGAAAGTTTATACATGGTATTCACCTAATTTGGAGCCGAGTATCAAGCACCAGTATTGTAATATTATAGCAAATATTAATGTATTACTCGATTATATTTTTTTTTTAGTAAATTATAATTAAAGTTCTCTACTGAGCCTCAGTCATTAAATTTTTGCCTCCTCATTTATTACCCGCACATCAAGCTCATCAGAAGTGATTAAACGCGTTATCTTAAAAAAAAGAGCTAAGGATCTGCCAATATACTCAGAGAAAGTCAGTCACGATAACGGTTTAATTGGAATAATTACAAAATGTGAATAAAAAAAATATCTATAGGCTTTTTAAACCGTAAAACAAACTGCAAGCAGTACAAATAAAAAAATTACCGTTAGCTAGTTTTCCCATAATGAGTGTAAATGTTGTGAAACCGCATTTTTAAAACTATGTTCGTTCGGAGTTTTTGCAGCCTCAACATAAAGTGAGCGTTGGTAGAGTGAAGTGCGAACAGGGACCCTAAAGAGCTTGGTATGATCGCGGGAATTTAGTATGAAAGGAGTAACGTTAATTGTTTACTGAATAACGTAATGGTATAGATTTAATTGTAATATTGCATAGGGTTGAATTAATGCAGGAATGTTGAATGTACCTGTGGTATGCATTATTAATGTAATATGCTTAGATTGACTTTGGATCTATGCAAGTAATATTGTGTATTGATATTTAGACGTCTTTAATACTTACTGTACACTTATTATGGGCGTATGTATACAATTGTACAGCATATTGGTAGCACAAAGCTATAGATTAAACATTTTATTAATATGAAAGTTAATAATGTTCCAGAATGCTTGAAATGATGTTTGTTTAGGATAACTATTCTAGAAAGGTGTATTTTGTTAATTTTAAATGGTCAGAGGAGTACAGCTTGAACTCCAACGACAGGCTTAAGACTTAAGAAGAAATTGAAGGTTTCAAGCAGCTGAAGTAAGAGCTGATATTTATTTCATTCAGAACCAACTTGTGTGGTGTGACAAGTAGTGACCCGGGAGAACGTCACATGTTTGGCTTCTCATTTGTATAGCGCAGGGTATTATGATGTGAACTGAATGTTCGACATATTATTTTATTAAACACCTTGTTTGAATTTATAACTATGTTTTTATGTTGACTATTACTCACTTGTACGTGTACTGTATGTGTGTGCGCAGTCACTAGGCTAACGTGTCAATTGTCTATTTTCAAAACGAGGTGACACCTATTACAATATTCAATTTCATGAGGAGAGCAGGCAACATAGCAATATACTAGAATGAGTAAAACAAGGGATTTATACAAGTTTTTTTTTAAATGGGGACCAGAACAAACAGAAAATCGTGAAATAAAACACAGGCATTTGTTAATGTGAAATTCAGAGTTACAAAACAGCAAACTGGTTATCAGTAATAAAATTATAGAAAGAGACTGTTATTAATATAACAGATTTGACTTCTTATGGGCTATCTTTATAATTGAAGGCTTCGGCGCAGTAGCTCGCTTTTTGTTTTCGTTTCATGAAAGTGCTGTTCTAGTTTGTGCAGTATTTGCAATATGTTTTTTCCTATTTCATTTAAACTGTCCTAGTTGTACCATTTATTGACATTAAAATGACTGCATAAATTTTACCTCATCGGCACCGAAAATAATATAAAAATCCTACGTCCTACAATAACGTCTACTGTTTTTTTTAAATATAAATTGGCAACAAAAGACAGTTAAATGGCAAATACAATATGATAACGAACCTGTTAGCAGCGAAAGTGTTCGAAAGCAGTGTCGTCGTTAAGACGTGTCACCTGGTTACCAAATGGACTCACACAAAACAGATTATACAATGTAGTGGAAATATGAAACAATAACTTATTTATTGATATAATTTTGTGTCCAAGGTTAATGTAGACACGCCTAACTGACGAAAAGACGAATCACTAATAGCAGATGGCAACTCATTCCAAATCATTACAAATCTTGTTAGAATATAAAAGTTAAATAGATTACTTTTGTAAATTAAATATTTAAAGCAGGCTCGAGCGGAAAAATATATTGTACAATTAATTTCTTAAGACACTGAAGGGGTGTGTGACTTAAAACTCGGGAATAGTAATATATATTTTTAATATCTTTAAAAATTGTGGGGAAAAGGGTGAATTTGTTTCCTCCGGAGCCTGGCTTTAAGTAATTTATAAGACATTGTAATTGTTAAATAACCTATCCAAAATAGTACTTTACTGTAAATTGAACATAAAACTACATACAAAAATAAATTGTAAGGCAATCTTTGATCATTATCCTTCAACATTCTAATCATTTAGGTTTTGTCTTATGGCATTGACGATACTGGTAGTAGTACTAAACTAACAGCAATAGTGTGTCTGCAGGAGGACAACACAAACGAATAGCTTTAAGATTACATAAATAAAACATCCACTCGCAATTTAGAGTTATCGTAACTTTTTACTTTTATAGACATCAATTAAAATTGTATGACACGAAAAAAAAAACAAAGGAAAAACCTTGAAAAACCAAGCAAATTAGGATGTTAAACATTATTAGATTGTGGCCATAAAGAAAATGTTTTGGAATACTACATGGCATTGTTTCTTAGAAATAATAGCCATAGCTTGGCATTTATTCCCAAATAAGGACTTAGTCTAGACAAATTAGTAATACCTTCACTATCTCAATAAAAGTGTCGTCTGCACAATACTGAAATGGATTTGCTAATTTAAATTAATGTTTTATGTTGTATAGAGATGGAACGTCTTATCCAAAGATGTAATCCCAATGATGTGGTACATTGTATATTATGTCTAAGTTATGCTGTGAGCATACAAGAGGACATATTTATTTTCCGAGGATGCTTTTCAAGACCGTTAGGGAAACAAGTTCTTCAAATTAGTTTTGCTATTTTTTTAGACGCATTATTTGCTTACTTTTAAGGAGAATGAAATTCACCACATGACCAACTATTTTGTAAATATCAGCCAGTAAATGGTGACAACTGACCTGCACACATTTTTAACCTACACTATGCAAGACTATATGGAAATCTACTTTCTGAGTTCCTCGATCTTTGTATATACAACAGTTAGATGTATAATCTATCAGCCAATTTGCCATTACAATTGTTGCTTCGTATTGCTGAATGTCAGGATAAAAAAAACCTCTTCCAGTTGAGCTATTAAGTATGTGGGTAGCCTGTTATACATTTCTAAGAACATTCTTCAAAGTTCAGCCCAAACGCATTCGATATC